TATTTGATATGCTCAACAGAATAGTGGACACAGCATGATAAACATCAGTGAACTTGAAAAGAAGGCTACAGAAATTTTCCAAGTGAAACATTAGGAGAAAAAATAAATTTAATAAACAGAACCATCTGAGACTGTGAGATGATATGTAATTGCCTAAGATATGTGAAATTAGGGGTAAGAAGAGAGGGAAAGAATAGGACAAAATAAATATTTCAGAAGGCAGTGGATGGTAATTTTATAAAGTGGGTGAAATAAATCAATCACAAGTTCTAGGTATTCAGAAAACCCTAATCAGGTTGAATAAAAAGAAAGCCATACTTTGACACATCATAGTTAAAATGCTATGGTTTTAGTTAAAATCAAGGTAAGAAGAAAATCTTAAAAGCAGTGAGAGGAAAAGTGCACATGATATTCAGGACAACATAAACTAAAAGGATGCTTGTCTTTTAGTTAAGCAATAGAGGCCTGAATACAATGGAATGGCATTCTAAAAGTGATAATATGCATTAAGATAAAGGGAAATAATGATATTTTTCAGACAGAAAAAAATCTGAGAGAATTCATCTTTATCAGACTTCTTCATAAGAAATGCTCAAAAAAATTCTCTAGATGGGAGAGAAATATATCAGATGGAAGCAAAGATTGACAGGAAAGAATGAGGGGTACCAAAGTAGTACATATGTGGATAAAAATGACAGACTAAAATAATAAGCAGAACTATATACCTATCCTTATTTATTGCTATGTTTATATCCATCTTTATATCTATAATTTAATTCATTTAAAAGTCTGCTGACTGCTTAAAGCAAACACAATAACATCTCATTAGGGTTTATAAATTATGTAGAACAAAATCTAGATGTGACAAAGTCTAGGGGAGCAAAATTAGGTACATAATTGTAAATATCTGTTTATATGGTGAAATAGTTCAATATTATTAAATGTAGGTCTGATAACTTCAAGATGCATAACCAAGTCTCTATAGTATCTGCTAAAAGAAAGCACAAGTGAAATACTAATAAATACCTGATTGAGTTCCCCATCCCCCAACCCCCAATAAAAGATAAGGAAGTAGGTACAGAGGCTCAGAGAAAAGATAGACATATAGAATGCAAATACCTATATGTTAGATCTAAACCCAGTCACAGCAATGATTGTGTTTGAGGTCAGTGAACTAAACATTTCTCCTAAAAGGCAGAGATTGTTAGAATGGATAATAAAAGTATGGTTCAACTGTATGCTGTCTTTGAGAAATGTAGACATCAAGACAAAGAGCATTACCAAGATAGCAATATTTAAAATTATGAAGAATCAATTTATCAAGAGGAAATAATCCTAAATATACATGTGTTTAGGAGCTTCAAAGGCTTCCCTGATGGCTTGCTGCTGCTGCTAAGTCACGTCAGTCATGTTTGACTCTGTGCGACCCCATAGACGGCAGCCCACCAGGCTCCCATCCCTGGGATTCTCCAGGCAAGAACACTGGAGTGGGTTGCCATTTCCTTTTCCAGTGCATGAAAGTGAAAAGTGAAAGTGAAGACGCTCAGTCGTGTCCGACTCTTCGTGACCCCATGGACTGTAGCCCACCAGGCTCCTCCATCCATGGGATTTTCCAGGCAAGAGGACTAGAGGGGGGTGCCAGATGGCTTAGACGGTGATAAATAATCGACTTGCAATGCAGGAGACCCAGAACTTGATCCCTGGGTCTGGAAGATCCCCTTGAGAAGGGAATGTCTACCCACTCCAGTATTCTTTCCTAAAGAATCCCATGGACAGAGGAGCCTGGCGGGCTACAATCCGTGGGTTTGCAAAGAGTCAGACACGACTGAGCGACTTTCGCTTCACTTTACTTCATTCACAATAACTGAAAAATTCATATTCTTTTAAAGTAGTTACCAAAGTTTACCAAGATAGAACATATGCTGGGGTATAAAACAAGTTTCAATAAATCTCAAGATTAAAATCACACAGGCTATGTATGTTCTCTGACCACAAAAGAATCAGTAGGAAATCAACTAAAATATGTAGAGAATTCATAAATAGTTGAAAATTATGTGACCAATGGCAAAAGTTTGGATAAATATGAAAGCTCAATATATATCAAAGACTGTGGGAAATAGCAAAAGCAGATGTCGAGATAGATTTATAGCTCTCAATAGTTAATTAGAAAAGAAGAAAGTTGAAAATTCAGTGATCAAATCTTCCACATAGTGTAATACCTAGAGCCACCACCAAAAATATACATCAAAATGGAATTCTACAAATTGTTCAAGTAATTCAGGGATGGCCAGAAAACTAAAACGCAGTAATGAAAAACATAACAGAAAATAAAAATATAGAATGGACTTGGCCTTAATATGATATCAATGTTATATTAAAAACAAATATCTTAAGATACCAATTAACAGAAATTAGAAGAGTCTATAAGAAACATGACCCAACTTTGTGTGTTATCTACAAAGTCTAAAACTCATTTCAAATATAATGATGGTTAGGTACATACCATGCAGTGTGCTGAGTTACTGAGGCATGTCCGACTCTTTGTGGCCCCATGGACTGTAGCCCGCCAGGCTCCTCTGTCCTTGGGATTCTCCAGGCAAGAGTACTGGAGTGGGTTGCCATGCCCTCCTCCAGGGAATCTTGCTGACCCAAGGAGTGAACCTGTGTCTCTTATGTCTCCTGCATTGGCAGGCAGGTTCTCTATAGCTAGCACCACCTGGAAAGCCCTAGTTTAGCTGTATCTCTTAATTATTCTAATCATTTGCCACAAACAGTGCAGCAGTAAAAAAGAACAAACTTGGTATGGGTAACAACCTGAATGGACCTTGAGGTTATTACTCTGAGTGAAAAAAGCCAGGCTCGAAGTTCATGTTCTGTAGGATTTCATTTCTCCATTTATGAAATGACAGAATTGTAGAGGTAGAAAACAGATTAATGTTTGGTGGGTGATAAGGATGGTGGAGAGGAAGAAGGTAGGTATGACTGTAAAAGGAACAGCAGGAGTAAGATCTTTGTTGTGATGGAATATTTCTGTAGCTCGACTGCAGAGATGTTTAAATTTTTTTTCATATGTGATAAAATGACACAGAACTGTCAACACATAAACTGCACCAATGCCAAATTCCTGGTTTGGTATTTTAGTGTAATTAGACACAAGCATTGGAGGATACTGGTGAAGGGGTACATAGGACCTTTCTTACTGTCTTTTCCTACTTCTTTTGAATCTACAGTCATTTTGAAATACAAAAGAAGAAAAAGGAATGAACTGTTGATTCATGTAATAATATCAGTGAATATCATAACAGTGTCTTGACAAAAAAGAGTGTACACTACATAATTCTAAGAAGTCTAAGAACAGTCAAGAAATATATGAAGTACATGAACAGATAAAGCCAATTTGTGATGACAGAAATTGGAACAGTAGTTAACCTGGGGGGTGGATGGTGGGTGGGTTTTTGACTAGCTAGTGGCACAAATAACTCAGTTTGTCAAAACCCATCAAACTGCTCGTTTAAAATCTGCACATTTTGCTTTCATAGAAACTACAGCTTGGTAGAAAAGCGAAAGGAAACTAGAAATAATATTCCAAAAGTGATATATCCTTTTGACTAGTTTTAAAATCATCCTTCAGTGTGTTTTATTTACTCCAAATATCACGTTAGATATATAATTCCAACTAGTTAAAATGAACACTGCAAAAAATCCATGATGTGACTCTCGAAACATTGAGTTTGGCCTCACTTAAAGCAAGAAGACATGCCGATTATTTTATTATATGTTAATGTTCACTTGAATTTGGGGAGTAAAAGGAAGGCCATAAAAATAATCTATATATTATATGAATGTGGCAACACATTGCCTATCTTTTATTTATTTATTTTTTTCTGCTTTTTATTATTTTTTTAATTTAATTTTTTTTTTTTCATTTATTTTTATTAGTTGGAGGCTAATTACTTTACATCATTGCAGTGGTTTTTGTCATACATTGAAATGAATTAGCCATGGATTTACATGTATTCCCCATCCCGGTCCCCCCTCCCACCTCCCTCTCCACCCGATCCCTCTGGGTCTTCCCAGTGCACCAGGCCCGAGCACTTGTCTCATGCACCCAACCTGGGCTGGTGATCTGTTTCACCCTAGATAATATACGTGTTTCGATGCTGTTCTCTTGAAACATCCCACCCTCGCCTTCTCCCAGAGTCCACAAGTCTGTTCTATACATCGGAGTCTCTTTTTCTGTTTTGCATATAGGGTTATCGTTACCATCTTTCTAAATTCCATATATATGTGTTAGTATACTGTAATGGTCTTTATCTTTCTGGCTTACTTCACTCTGTATAATGGGCTCCAGTTTCATCCATCTCATTAGAACTGATTCAAATGAATTCTTTTTAATGGCTGAGTAATATTCCATGGTGTATATGTACCACAGCTTCCTCATCCATTCGTCTGCTGATGGGCATCTAGGTTGCTTCCATGTCCTGGCTATTATAAACAGTGCTGCGATGAACATTTGGGTGCACGTGTCTCTTTCAGATCTGGTTTCCTCGGTGTGTATGCCCAGAAGTGGGATTGCTGGGTCATATGGCAGTTCTATTTCCAGCTTTTTAAGAAATCTCCACACTAGAACACTTTCTAACACCATACACAAAAATAAACTCAAAATGGATTAAAGATCTAAATGTAAGACCAGAAACTATAAAACTCCTAGAGGAGAACATAGGCAAAACACTCTCCGACATAAATCACAGCAGGATCCTCTATGACCCACATCCCAGAATATTAGAAACAAAAGCAAAAATAAACAAATGGGACCTAATGAAACTTAAAAGCTTTTGCACAACAAAGGAAACTATAAGCAAGGTGAAAAGACAGCCCTCAGATTGGGAGAAAATAATAGCAAATGAAGCAACAGACAAAGGATTGCCTATCTTTTAAATGCATGCTCTTAATTTACCTCCATCAAATATGTGTTTCTGATTAAATCTCTTGCCCTGCAGCAAGAGTTCTTTGAACGCCTCTTTGTCATGTACACTATCGGATACTCTGTCTCCTTTGCATCCCTGGCCGTGGCTATTCTCATCATTGGTTACTTCAGGTGAGTAATTCTCAATCACTGCCTCCGTGAAGGGGCAGGTCTGTTTCTTCATCAAAGACAGAGACCTCTCACAATCTGTGCCTCCAGATACTTTCCCTAAACAAAAGTTTCTGAATTCAACTTCGTATTATATTATTTGACTTTGATAAGTTATTTTTCATGAAAAATTCAGGGTTATTCTTTGTTGTTTGTTTATTTAAAGACTTAAAGCCTCAAAGCAGTATGAAACCATTAAAACAGTGGGTCTGCATTGCAGTCTATTTTTGCTAAGTGATGCAGAGTATTGTCAAACGAGTTAGAAAAATTTTCACTCATGATGTGAAGGCTTATTTCACTTTTTCCAAATGATTTTGGTGGCATGGGACAGAAATTCATCTTAAATAATCTCTAGATGATTCGATACCATACAGGAAGAAACAGGGGCTTCTCAGGTGGCTCAGTGGTAAAGAATCTGCCTGCCAATGCAGGAGATGCGGGTTTGATCTCTGGGTTGGGAAGATCCCCTAGAGAAGGAAATGGCAACCCACTCTAGTATTCTAGCCTGGGAAATCCTATGGACAGAAGAGCCTAGTGGGCTACAGTCCATGGGGTCACATAGAAGTTGAACATGACTGAAGCAACTTAGCATGCATGCACACATAATATAATGCTATAATATTATACTGTAGTATAATATTTAACACTGCATAATCTGGATAAACATGGTAGCTGATCAGGATATATTTGAAATTAATTCGCAAAAAATTATATTTTAGTTTTTGACTCCAATTGTTGCTCTTTTTGTTCAGCTTTATTATATTTCTTCTTTTGGGGGGGGTAGTTTGAGCTCATTTATGTATTTTCTTTCTCCATTTCTAATTTTATTCAGATCTAAATACTAAATATTTTCTCTCTGTAGACGACTGCATTGTACTAGGAACTATATCCACATGCATTTATTTGTGTCTTTCATGCTGAGGGCTGCGAGCATCTTTGTCAAGGACAGAGTGGTCCATGCTCACACAGGAGGAAAGGAGCTGCGGTCCCTGATATTGAAGGATAACCTACAAAGCTCCATAGACGTGCCTGCTGTGGACAAATCACAATATGTAAGTGCTTTCCTCATGACCCCTTACATGGCTCACCACTTCTAAAAGTAAAAGAAAAACCTACCTGCAAAACTAGAAGCTTGGGATTTAAAAATCCAGGGGATTTAGTTCCTTTATTAGACACCCAAAGACTTGTTCTCATGTAAGATTCCATAGCACTTGATTTTGTTCTTAGATATCCTAGTGTTATTAAGTATGTAGAATTACCCAGTCATTCAGTTAATGGAGAGCATTATCACCTTGAAGCTGTATATCTGGAAATTAGGTAGAGTAGATTGATTTTCTTGATGGTGTGAATTAATGCCATAGTTATCTTTGTCCTTTTCCCTGTAATTCACTATCATCTCTGCTGATTCTAATTCTGCATTGGATTTGTGACTTGTTTAAAATGAAGGACAAAGTGGGTATGATGGTATGCCAGTTGAAGGTAGACTTCTATGAGTGAACCTAGTCAAGATTACCTGAGCTTCTCCCAGATCAGTAGAATCACCTAACCAATCCATGAATTCATAAGACACATTAAACATTTAGTGTTTTAAGCCATTTAACTTCTGGAGTATAACAAAGTCCAGAATAAAATAAATTCATGGTAGAATGATAGGTAAATTTCTTCTTTATGCTTTTCTGTACTTTCCTAATTTTCTCTGATTATCAAGTATTCTTTTTTGAATAAATTGAGGAAAAGTGATTTCTTGTTACTTCTAAAGGAAAAAAAAATCTTATTTTAAAAATAAAATCAAGTCAGCAGTCTTAGAAATGCTATATTTAAATAACATTGTTCTGGCCTCTTTCAAAAGTCTTGGCTTCCCCATGTATAAGAGACATTAGATTCTAAAAAAGAAATGGAGGAACTGCTTTTTAGTGGTCTAATGCTGGAAACAGTATGATTAGGAGTTCTAATATGGTGCCATGTTGGTTTATTTGTAACAGATTGGGTGCAAGATGGCTGTTGTGATGTTTATTTACTTCTTGGCTACAAACTACTATTGGATTTTGGTGGAAGGTCTCTATCTGCATAGTTTAATCTTTGTGGCATTCTTTTCGGACACCAAGTGCCTGTGGGGCTTCACCCTGATAGGCTGGGGTAAGGCATTTCTGTCTCCTTTCCTTTTCAAGTGGGTTATGGATTTCAGGGCTTGTGTCATGCCTGTCATCAGCATTCTTTCAGCTCTTTTCCTGAAATAATCTCTCCCCATGCTATCTTTATCTTTCCTTTCTCTTTAATTATTTATTGGGGAAAATCATTAAAATCAAGTCTATGATTCTCCCAGTGGTAACAAACTTTTCACATTTAACTTAGGGTTACTGTTCTTAGACCAGATTCTTAAGAGGATTCTTTGGGGGAAATATCTTGTTTGCCTTACACATTTAGAACTGCCGTGCTCATCATGTCTTATGTCAGTGTCTTGATTTAACAGTAATTCCATTCTACAAATTTTGATTTTTTTGAATTTCTGATTCATAATGATGCATCTTTGATTAATAATTCTAGGTCATATGATGAGAATGCCAGAGAGGAATTTATAGAACCATCTTGGCTGTATTTAACAATACAAATTACAAGCTAATTATGTAGACTTACCATGTCTTTTGGAAGGAAATAAATAGAATTACTTTTGGCATAAGTAATTAAAAAAAAAAAGAGTCAACTCACATTCCAAAATGCCTTTTCAGTCCTAGAGGGATTACTGAACCAGACACTAACTCAGTGTGATATGGAGAAAGAATGTTGTTTGTTTGTTATAGTTTAAGAGAAATTAAAGCTCATATGTGGTTAAAATTAAGAAGTCTCAAGATTAACAACTGCTACTTTAATTTGTAGATGATCAGGTGGTCAGCAGAGGGAAAAAAATAACTAAGTGGCTCAAGATTAAATTTGAAGGTTTTTTTTCCCCTCCAAAATAAGAAAGTTTTTTTGCCTGTTTTGCCTTGACATTGTCTTAACATTTGAAAATGTAAAGTAAGGGATATTGAATTTCCTGTTAGTTAATAACCTTTAAGAAGACAAAGGGTCAGTTTATTGTCACCCTTTATTTATTATGAAATACTAATTGTTGTGAACAAAATTTTATTTCTGAAAGCAGTTTGGTTTTAACCTGTCCCTTATCTTTGACTACCAGTTACTAAAATAAAAAAAAAAAGATACATTTAATATTTTGGGGGGGGGTACTTTGGTAATTTTCTCAACAGTTTTTGGTAGTTTGCCTTCAAATCAAAATTATGTCTGGGTGCTCACATCATTAGGAGAAGTTGATAAAGTTATTGATAGAAAATTCAACAGTGACTTTGAGTTTGATTTTATTTTTTTGGCTTGGTATGACATTTGTCACACTAGTAATAAGCTTGTTTTTTCTTTATTTATTAATTGGTTTGATAGTCAGCTGCTCAGTCCCCTATCAACTCTTATTTGGGCTGATTCACTCAGTTTGTTACTTCATAAAGTCAGGGGTTTGTCTCACTGAAACCCAGGAAGGGTTAGTGGCTCTAGTTGTGTCCAGCTCTTTGCAACCCCATGAACTGTAGCCCACCAGGTTCCTCTGTTCACGGGATTTTCAAGGCAAGAATACTGGAGTGGGTTGCCACTCCCTTCTCCAGGGGATCTTTCCGACCCAGGGATTAAACCCAAGTCTTTAGCTTGTCCTGCATTGCAGGCAGATTCTTTACCATCTGAGCCACCAGGGAAGCTCTGAAACCCAGGAAACTAGTTTGCAAATCTTTCTATGAAAAATAAAATTAAAAAAAAAAATTAGTTAGGATTCTGGTGAGCATCTATACAAGTCTTAGTTTCTTACCTTCCTTTAAAACTTGTATTAATTTCCCCAGAAACATTTTGGCATAGGAGTGACAACTACAGTAAGATAACCATCACAACTTGAAATCTTCATTTCATTGAATGGTTTAATAACATGCATGAAAGCAAGTAGGATTTACATGAAAGCTCACTTTTATAAATCATATTACATGCAATATTATGCTAACTTAATTAACCACGATTTAAAACAGTAACAACTAATCTTTTTCTATGTTGTATATTACGTCTCTAGTACTTATTTATCTTATTACTGGAAGTTTGTACCTTTTGTTGTACTTATTATTGAAAATTTGTACTTTTTGACTGACCCCTCTTAAATATATAATTAAATGTAATTTTAAAATGTGCAGTTGGAGTCAAGAATAAAGTGCCTTATTAATGAGAAAATTGAGGCAGGAATAAGAAAAATTAAGGCTACGACTGGTTGAAAGAATAGAAACGTAGTTATCGTTAGAATTTGCTTTTGCTTCTCTGTACATCTTGTTTTGTGATAAAGATGTACAAAAACAGTCATTTTAAATATCAGTCTTCAATTTACAAAGGCAGATATGGCATTGTTCCTCTTTAGATGGTAATTTCCTTCCTTGCCAATTTATTATTAAGAACCAGCAAAATCAATGTAAATAAATGCAGCTCCACACATCATTACAGTGTGAGTAATAAAGTGCTGAGTATTTACCTACCTAGAGAGGGCCTAAAGTTATAATTAGATCTAAACAAGATTTAGACCCAAAGTAATGTACAAGATAGAAAAAAAGGTTTCAATCTTGCTTCTTTATCCTTATTGAATGTGGTTATTTACCTCTGTATTAGCAGCCATTCTTAATTTTCACCTGTCAGATGAGATGCCAGAATGTATGTATTATCATATAAAAGCACTTAACTTTGGGGTTTCCCTAGTAGCTCAGCTGGTAAAGAATCTGCCTACAATGCAGGAGACCCTGGTTCAATTCCTGGGTTGGGAAGATTCCCCTGGAGGAGGGCATGGCAACCCAGTCTAGTGTTCTTGCCTGGAGAATTCCCATGGGCAGAGAAGCCTGGTGGGCTACAGTCCATGGGGTCTCAAAGAGTCAGACACAGCTAAGCGCAGCCCAGCACACGGAAGCTTCCCTGGTGGGCTCAGATGGTAGAGAATCTGCCTGCAATGCAGGAGCCTGGGGGCTCAATCCCTGGGTCACGGAAATTCCCTGGAGAAGGGAATGGCACTTTACTTCAGTATTCTTGCCTGGAAGAGTTCCATGGACAGAGGAGACTGGTGGGCTCCAGTCCATGGGGTCCCAAAGAGTGGGATATGACCAGGGACTAACACTTTCACTTTCGTTTTGACAAAAATTTCCTAAAACATAGAATTTGAGCAGATTTTTTAAAAGAGGGAGTTATATAAAAACAATAAATAAAACTGGAATATAGTGTTATAAAATTAAATAGCCACACAGGCAGACTGAGGTTAAATTCAACTAGATCGCTAAGAAAACCAAAGAAATTCCCTACTGTGGGATATCACCTTATTTTAACTTTTCTGAAATTTTTCATCTACATCTATTTTTATGTTCCTTTGCTTAGAAAATATATCTGAAAAATTACAAATGTGTTTTTTAACAGGTAAAAAATGTTGTTAAAAGTGTTCTGAGTTAAATTTTTTTTCTCTCTTTGTAAGGTGCTTCCTGTGGCCTCTCTTTCCTTTTTTTAAAACTTCTTTCTAAAAGGCCACATATCCATTAAATCCTTTGATCTATTGCAGAGTTCTATAAAAGTATGGTTTGTGTTTCTTTTGTGATGTCAGAGTCTAACTGAGTATAGCATGAACTGAACAGCCCGTCTTTACTGGAAGCAAAGACTCATGGAAAGTCAGTATAATTAATAGATTTGACGTTGCAAGCTCATAGGTGATTATTATTTATGAAAGACGAACATTTCATGCTCAAATCATCAAGCTAACATAGCAGCATTCTTTGGTAAGTTTTCAGTACCTGCAAATGCTTCTGTCTGGAACCAATATGAACAAAAAAGAAGAGGCTAAACTGATCAAAACATCCTAATTTTGTAACTTTCAGTGTAGCCTCTCTATGCCTTCCACCTTTAGAATGAGAAAATTCAAATTTTTAAAAACAATAGCCTTCCTGTCACTTCTCCTGAGTCCCTCTTGTTGCTTCACGCTTCTTGGAAAGCATGTGGCTGTTGGGGTGGCAAGAGGTGAAGTTATATGCACCGACCACTGCCTGTCTTTGACTCCAGGGACTTCAGTCCCCTCCTTACATAGCTTAACCTTATACCCCTCAAATGAAAGTAGGGCCAATCTTCTTCAGACTTTTGGGAACAAATAACATCAGTGTACCAGCTCTCTTCTCAAATGGACAAGATGAAAGTTAAGTGGAATTTTCTTGTTCACATAGTAACATTTTTCATGTCCAATTTTTCTCTCTCACCTTTTAATAGTATATTTTTTGGGTGATGAATATAAGAAAAAGACACCTTAATCCTGAAACAAATAATGTCTCTGAATCTTTTTCTGATTGCAGGGTTCCCGGCGGCATTTGTGACAGTCTGGGCTGTAGCACGAGCAACTCTGGCTGATGCAAGGTGGGTGAAAAAGAGGTAAAGCAAGAGCCTCAGACTTTCTCAAGGCTGGCTTCCTGCTTGGAGTTCACACTGGCGGCTGTTCTCGATGACATCGCCCTTTAGGGATTACCCGGTAGCCTCTCATACATTACCAGCCAGCTATCCATTCCAGAGTCATGGGACAGAAGGACTCACAGACCCAGTTGGGATGCTTGAACCCCATGGTTTATGAAATCAATTTGAAACATACCATGAGAAGCTGGGGGAAAGAGATGGGTTAGTTAACATACCTAGGATGTTGTGCACACGGGTGAAAGGGCCGCACTGCCTGAGTCCTGGGCTAGGCAATATTCATATCTCCTTTCTCTTACTCTCCGCCACATCTGCATTCCCCACTGATGGTGTGGTTACGAGGGCCAGAAATAAGGTTGCAGCAAGGAGTCCCACAGACAGACGGTGCCCTGGGCCAGGGACACACACTTGCCGTCTCAGAGAGATGTAAGGGCAAGTTTATGCGCCATGGCGCTAACTTGCCATGTAGCCTACTCAGCAGCCCTAGGTTTTATTTGCATTCTTTGGGCAAAAGATATGTGGCCATGAGTTCCACCTATTGGTGCCTAATTAAGACATCAAGAATATCAAGGACTTCCTGTCATCAAGGGATACTTTGTGTCTCATATATTTGGTGAACTGTGGATATTTAGTGCTAGTTGCCCTAAATATCTAGTACCCATGCTTAACACACACGTGTTCTACTTACTACTTACATATATGTAATGTCAAGTATAGGTTTACTCCACCTCTTTGTATTCTTGTCTTGCATAGCATAGGTAAATTTATTAAAATGATAAAACAAGTGCACATTAGAAGTGGAATCCATCCTAGGGAATCACTAGCATCCCAGTTGCCTGTTGCTCTTTTGATGCTACATGACGCATGGATGCTGAAACATTCATTGCTTCATATTATTTCTATTTTTAGTGATGATGAGTCAAAGAAAGGAAAGGAGAACATAGAGAAATATTCAGTGCCTACTCTTTGCTTTCACTGTCAAACTTATTGCTTGGACTGAATGTATCTCCCCCAAATTCATATGTGGGAAAACCCAACCCTCAATGTGGCTATATTTGGAGATAGTGCCCGTAAGGAGGTAATTAAGGTTAAATGAAGTCCTGAGGGTAGGACTCTGATATAACAGGATTAGTGTCTTCATGAGAAGAGAAACCATAGGGTGCCTTCTCACTCTGCATACATAAAGTAAACCTTTTATGAGCACACAGCAAGATGATGCCAAGGATACTGGTTAGTGGTTAGGTAACAGGGTGATGTTTTGGGAATCTTAATTACCAGGCTTCTGGTTTTAACCAGCCCGGGATCTGCATGCTTGTAGTCAGCATGTAGTCAACATCCTCCACTGGGCTGGTGCTTAATTTCTGCAGAACAGTGCAAAGTTATGCATTAGATCATTATCTATATTTCTTCAGGAGAAACTAGGTGTCCTGCAACTCAGTTATTCATGTTGTTACTACTTTTCTTGCTTGACTGCTTTTCCTTGGTTTCTGCATTTTCTCACTTCCCTAATTAGTAACTGTTTGAGTCTGCTCTTTGAAACTTGGGGAAGCCCTTGAAGACTGTCAACTAAAAAAATATAGTCACAACCTGAAAGTAGAATTATTTTGTTTGGTGTGCATGTTTAGAACTCAGAGCCCGGGAGACAGTATCTCAGTAGCTCTGAGAAAACTGCTCCAAGGAGGCAGGAGGAGGGAGTTAGGCTTTATACAAGTTTGTAACAAAGGGAGTAGGCAGTCTGAACATCGGAGGTTCAATATCAAGTTAAGGAATTTAGCATTCTATGTATGGGAAGATGCAAGCCTCTGGGCTCACTGAGTTCATTCTTTTCATATGCAGCTCAGCTCTCTGGTGCCATATCCTATTTCTGTGTTCACCTTTGGGACTGGCTGGTGGCTGTTTCTTGCATTCCCCCAGTTTCTCAGCAAGGAGGGAGGGAGGCGGGTGAAGGGGGAGGTGGCAGTCTCTGTTGGATCACAGTTTTGGGAGCCCTTATTCACATTTGGAGGCCAGAAATTACTGAAGGCTGTGACGTTTCTTGTTTGATATGGCAGGAGATATTTTCATTTCACGAGGCTAAAGCTTTTTCCCAAATAATAAGTGGGAATGTGGAAGGGCTTGTACCCAGAAGGATCCTGCAGGATCCTTTATTTTTACTTACCTTTATCTCTTTTTGCTATTTGGATTTGCTGACACTCCTCCTTGCTGACAATGCAGGAGACCTGGGGTTTGATCCCTGGGTTGGAAAGATCCCCTGGAGAAGGAAATGGCAGCCTACTCCAATATTCTTGTCTGGAGAATCCCATGGATGGAAGAGCCTGGCAGGGTACAGTCCATGGGGCCACAAAGAGTTGGACATGATCAAAGTGTCTTAACATGCACATGGGGGTTCATGTTATCTACATTGTTATCATTATTGTTATATTTACACAGCAATATTGGAAATCTCAAAGAAAACCTGCAGACTTGCTGTTTGATTTCTTGAAGGAGAGAGGGAGGTTGAGTCAGTAGAGGTACTAAATAATGCTAAATAATTTTACCCTGAGATATGTAACCAAATCACTCAGATTTGGAATTTTAGAGAAGGTAGAACCAAAGGCATTGTTTCTTCCAGTCCTCACTTGTGAGAGATGAATAGAATGAGACCTGATGGCCTATATATATCCTGGAGCACTTTGATTCATTCGTCCGTTCCGTAGCTCTTCCAGGCCTTGAGCATGGAAAGAAAGCAAATATATTCATAGTGCATTATATACTGAATTAAATAGGTAGTTTCCTTAGTTATCTTACATTTTTTCTTAAAAATTATAAACTAGGTATTAAGTTATTAATAATCATAAATCTTTTGCTGAAAAATAGGAAATATGAGTTTATTATTTTGAGAAAAAAATCCATTAGGTGCATAATACTTGCAAAACTACAACTGGTACTAAATATTGCTCTAAAACAGATAAATTAATGTAAAAATATTAACTATAAGTTAGATCATATGACTCCTCTGCATAACATATTTATTCCTACCTTACCTTAGAATAAAATCTTGAATTCTATAGTGCTCTGATCTGAGTATGATAATTGGGTTAAGAGGTCATTTTACATTTATTTTGCATAGAAAATAAAATTGTGTTACCACATTCATGGCATAATTTCATAATTGCCTGATTTGATTTCTCGTGAAATTCAGCTTGTCTAAGATAAAACGATTTTTGGGTTTTCTTGAGTGTTGTCTAACCTACGTATAGTGTCATGTCGCAAAGTTCAGGTGGAGAGAGAAGACTGGGAGCATCTCCAAAGGCCAGATAGAGTCCTGGTTCATGTCTGTTACACTTGAGATTTATCTTTTTCTGATCTGGCCTTTCAAAGCTAGAACTCTTATTTTCTCTGTATCTTGGACATTTAGAAATAAGCAGATAAGACCCAGTTTTAGAATGTACTCTAAACTATTGAATATACAAAAAGTTTCTTCCAGTTCTAAAGTTCTAGTGAAGTGTTGACTAAGGTAGGGTAAGATAACTGAGTCCTGTAGTTTGTCGTTGTTGTTCGATTGCTCAGTCATGTCCGACTCTTTGTGACTGCAGCATGCCAGGCTTCTGTGTCTTTCACCATCTCCCAGAGCTAGCTCAAACTCATGTCCATTGAGTTGGTGATGCCATCCAACCATCTCGTTCTTTGTTGTCCCCTTCTCCTCCTGCCTTCAATCTTTCCCAGCATCAGGGTCTTTCTCAATGAGTCAGCTCTTTGCATCAGGTAGGTGGCCAAAGTATTGGAGCTTTACAGCATCAATCCTCCCAATGAATATTCAGGATTGATTTCCTTTAAGAAATTTCCTGCAGTTTAGATTGCACAAATGACTTAAAGAGTGAATAATTTTGTTTCTCTTTCTTTTTAACTTACAAAAGCAAAATACCTTATGAGATACCTTATTACCGTCTCCCTGCTCGCTCAAAGGAGATAAGAGATGCCAGTAGGGGCATTAAGGCTTGCAGTGGAAAGGACCAAGAAATGTTATACTCTGTAATTCTTGGGAAATGTGCATGGCTTTGAGGTTACTTCACTTCCTCTTCTCTTATCAGAGTGTGAGTGTTGGAGACAATACAGTATTCCAATACAGGATCCCTCTGGCAGAACGATGCATTTCCTGCTCCCAGGTTGGCTGCAGAAGGACCTACTTTCCTGTCTATGCTCTACTATTCAAGATGACTGTGTCTCATGCTCTACTATTCCAGAATTACATATTTACTGACATTTGTTCCTGCATGTCCTAGGGTGTTAAAATTTATTTAAAAAAATTTGGACAGAGGGTAGTTTCTTGGTCATGTTCACAAACACAGGTCATTGAATAATTAATGAAAAACAAGAAGCAACAGCATTTCCTTTAAAAAAAATCTGAAACCTCAGTTGCCTCTTATCAAGGGCAAATTTAAAACTTTGACACTGAAAGTGATCAAAGTCAAGTTTTTCTTGTTTTTAGAAGTAGCTGATTTGACCTACTTCCAGATACGAGTATTTTGTAGAGCTAAAATTGTGTAATTGATTTCCAGCATGTTAGGAGACACCACAATGAAATGTCATTATGGCAAAAAGAAAGAGGATTATGAAGATATCACCAAATGTCAAAGCTGAAAAGAGAATTTATGAAATCCAAGAGTCTCATAGCTAGTGAATCAGTGTTCAATTTATACTCTCTCAATATGTGCCTCTTTCCTTACAGTAGGAAGCCTTTTTAGGGTAGTGTGATAGACATTTTGCATGACTCCATAACACTATCTTTTTCTTGTCTGGCTGAACAATGTGGATAATAGGTGCATGCAGATAATATTGGGCAGTGTTCAATACTGTGTAAACAAGTAATGTATGCAAGTTACTTGTGTAAACAAGTAATGTATATTTGATGTCCATTCTGATTCAGTCTTCAAGCCCATTGATTTTGCTGATTTCAGTGTGGCTGGATCAGAATTAAACTTTGGTGTAGGAGTTTGGTTGATTTAGCTGTGGTTCCTCCTTCCAATGGAATGCTGGGCTACTGAGCTCTCTCAGTACTGATATGGAAAGAAATTAAAGATATGCTATAAAAAGGAAAAGGCAAGTTACAGAACAGAATGTACATTGTGTTTTTGTAAGATGGGGAAAATAAGATTATAATATCTGTATGTGTTTGTATATGCACAACAAAATACTGAAAGCATGCACAATAAAGTAATGAAAGATTAACCTGTAAGCAGAAGGGCAAGGTCAGAGATAGACAGGAAGATGGGGAGGACTGAAATGTCTCAATGTCTGTCTTTTTATATAGGTTGATTTTTGAAATGAGAATATGTTGCTTACACAAAAAATTAAAATTTTTGTTATTATATGTGTGCTGAAAATGTTTTCCTTTCAAGAAATAGTTGAAATAGCTTTTTATTATCCATAATTTGTTCAGTAATTTAAAAGTAACTTCTTAATATAAGTTTATCATCTAGAATAAAAAAATTGTCATTATATCACTAAAATTTCTTCATAAGATTTTATTTACTAATGCTACAATCAATGTTAGGTCTAAGGAGACAGAAACTGAAGGCTTTTATTTACGTATCTTTAATTAAAAAAAAACTCTTTAAAATGCTATGTTAAAGTTTCAAGTGGAGCTAGTTTTTCTCAACTCTGTTCCATTTATTCTAGTGTAAGACCTTTACCACAAACCAGATTGGGTGAAGTTCAACTTCCTTTGAATTCAGTTAATTCAAAACATGTTTATTGGCTACCTAGAGCCTGTGTATATTCTAGGCACTTACAATAGAAAACAAAAACAACAGCAATCTCTGCCTATCTAAACTTAAATTCTAGTTGGAGCAAGCAGGAAGCAGAAAATAAGTATAGCAAATAGGTAAATTATATACTGGTGGCTCAGACGGTAAAGAATTTGCTTGCAATGCAGGAGACCTGGGTTCAATTCCTGGGTCAGGAAGATCCACGATCCTTGGAAAAGGGAATGCCAACACACTCCAGTATTCTTGCATGGAGAATTCCATGGACAGAGGAGCCTGGTGATCTACACAGCCTGCAGGGTTGCAAAGAGTCAGACACAGCTGAGCAACTAATGCATTTTTATTAATACTGTAAAAAAATAACTTAAAAAAAGAAGATAAAAGTCATCATGTTATGCAAATATGAAATGACTACCTGTAGAGATTTTTTGACTCACTGATTAGTAAGCTAACCAGTAAGCTTAGCTTAGTAACCAGTAAGCTATTATAACTGGTTCAAAGGAGAAATAAAAGAATCACATGTTTATATTTAGTACTGTGAATGCTGAAATGATTTTACAAATAAATGTAAACACTGGTCAATATTCACAGATCAGTAGTCACTTACATTTCACCAAACAGCTAATTTTCCTTTCTAGGGATAAAAATCATTTGTATTCAGTTTTTTCTACATTCCTATTAACAAGGATCATTTGTATTATTGTTAGTTTTATGTTGCATGTCTGTGGATAAGAATGTATTAATGTCAGTGTCTTGCAGCCAATGGGGTAAATTCTGAAAATGGGAGGACTTTCTCTATCACCTGTTAAACTCTGTTTAACTGTTATGGCTCATTCCAGTGATAACAAAAGTAAAGAATCAATAGTACCACATTTAGAAGACTAAGTTTTTGTGGTTCTGGAAACATAGTTTTGACTCTTGTTATATAAATAATACACCACTATTTATAATACTTATCCCCAAAGGGTAGCTAATAGTATAGAAAGCAGGACTCACTACATTTTTTCTGCACTGGGAGTTTTAGGAGCTTTTTTTTTTTCGGTCTACCTGTTTCTTTTATTTTTTTTTGGTTTACCTGTTTCTTAATCACAATCCTGGGTATGGTGTTTCTGGTAAAACTTAAAATGCTACTTAATTCTTATTGCTTATTTGCTTTGCCAGTCTATTCATGGAAGTTCTTTTTCATGTCTCAGATGCTGGGAACTTAGTGCTGGAGACATCAAGTGGATTTACCAAGCCCCAATATTAGCTGCTATTGGGGTAAGTTTAAAAGCCTGTATAGTTTTTAAAAAAGAAAAACAAGATGTATAATTAAACGTTTGCTAAAATCCAGAGAAAATTTGTTGGTCACTTTGTTTATAAAATATATTATATAACCTCACGTTATATAATAGCTATTGAGAAATTCTGGGTTGGGAATTTAGATCCTTGTTCCTGGCTGACACTGAGATCTGTGAAGAAAGCACATACCCTCCCTTTAATCTGCTAGCACATAGGAAAAATTCTGGGACTTCAAAATATCTATAAACATTTACAGGTTCAAACAGTTAGGAGGTCCTTAAACTCTTCTCTTTTTTCAGCCATTATTTTATAATATTCTGATCACCTGGTAATAGGTCAGGAGGAGAGGTCAAGATGGAATAGCAAGAGAACAAGAATTATAGAGAGGGAAATATGAGAGCATAATTTATTATAAAGCATTGTCTAAAGCTTTTATTTGACATACTTTCCCAAAGGAGTTAAGAGAATTCCACATTGATGTGTATCCTCTAATAAGTAATAAGAAAAAGACTAGACTTGGCAATCATGTTGCATGGGACCTTATCTGCCTGTAATATTTCAAGTGTATGTTATAGTTGATTTTTGTCTGAAGGCTTGTCATTTGTTTGCAGATTTTGTGTGTGTCAGTTGCTCAGTTGTGTCTGACTGTTTGTGACCCTGTGAACTGTAGCCTGCCAGGCTCCTCTGACCATGGGGATTCTCCAGGCAAGAATACTGGAGTGGGTTGCCATGCCCTCCTTCAGGGGATCTTCCCAATCCAGGGATTAAACTTGCATCTCTTACATCTCTTGCACTGGCAGGCAGGGTCTTTACCCACTAAGCCACCTTACTCACATCACCAATATGGACGAGAAGTTTACATGCCGAGTTTTCTAGATTGCAATGTGAAACAGTTAAGTTAGGTGATTATGACTGAGGGAGTTAAAAGTCGTTCAGTTGTATCTGACTCTGCGACCCCACGGACTGTAGCCCACCAGGCTCCTCTGTCCATGGGATTTTACAGGTGAGATTGTTGCAGTAACCAGTAATCCAGAAACCAAGCACCACACTTGGAGAGTTGGAGAATCCATGTTTATTATGCTGGCTGGTCCAAAGGAGTTAACACTCTAAGCTCTGAGCCCCAAACAAAGGGGTTTTATGGACAGAATATAGTGGGCAACACTAGCTGTTAATAGGCTGATTTAAACTAATGGGTTTCGTGCGCGGGAACAGCAGTCAAGATGGGGAGGGGAATGCCTGACCTTTACACGGAGAGGCATGATTAAGCAGGTTTGCAGGGGCAGGCCAGTTGCAAACAGTAGGATGAGGGTGAGTGAGATAAGCTCCAGTTCCTAGTATTGTAAATTCCCACTTTCTGAGACTATGTGACCTATGTGATCCAGACTTTGCAAGGAGCAAGCTGAGTTACAGAGGCAGAAGGAGCAGGAGGTTGTGTAAATTTTAACTTTTCCTCTTCAAGAATATTGGAGTGGGTTGCCATTCCCTTCTCTAGCGGATCTTCCTGACCAGGGATCGAACCTGCGTTTCCTGCCTGTGTCTCCTGCATTGGCAGGTGGCTTCTTTACCGCTAGCGCCACCTGGGAAGCCCCTAGGTGTTTACAGAGATTCTGAAAGATTTGCCATTGGTGAAAGGGAACCAGAAATGATGGTACAGTCAATAAATTTTGAAGGAAACTTGAGTGGGGTGTCATTTTCATCTTCTAGAACTAACATTACACAGATCAAAAATTCTTAAATCTTTTTTCCATATGAGAACATCCATTTAATTTCAAAAATCAGAGAAGAGATTCACGAGCACCTTTCTATTCACTTGAAGCTACCTTTTTGTTTCTTTATTACAATTCAGGGTTATCTCAATTCCTTTTAAGATTTCCTCATTTTATGGTGGAAACAGCCTGTACGGGAAGAGATGCTCCTAGAGCCCAGGTCTCAGCTCCTGGAGTGCAGTGCTCCTTCTTCGGAGCTCTTCTGAAGCCTGAAAGATGATGCTAATAATAACAACATACATAGCCAAGAGCTTACGACCACTGGGCACTGTTTTATACACTTTATTTACATTGATTGCATTGATTTACGTTGATCTAATCTTACCAATAACTCTAAATGAGGAAACTGCCCAAGGTCACTCAGCTAGTAAGTGGCGGAGCTCGGATTTGAACATCGGGGCCAGCGTCCCTAACTAGTGAGCTCCGTACACTTGTGATAAAACCAGCATTCTTGATAGTTCAGAGAAGACCGTGGCCTTCATGTCCACACTCCTTTATGTGCCTGCCCTTTGCCTCGTTGTTTCCCTTTCGGTTCCTTGAACTTTTCGATGTCTGCCCCTCTCGGGACTGTTCTTCATTTTGCACTATACACCTGGAAGTCTGGGATATGCTGCCTTCTACTCCTCACTTTAAATGTCATTTCTCCATTGTGGCCTCCCTGATGGTCTCCAACTAAATTAGTTTACCTGTTATAACCCGAGGGCTTGCCTGGTGGCTCAGTGGTAAAGAATCTGCCTACAATGTAGGAGACCTGGGTTCAATCCCTGGGTCAGGTAGATCCCCTGGAGAAGGGCATGGCAACCCACTCCAGTACTCTTGCCTGTAGAACCCCATGGATAGAGGAGCCTGGCAGGCTGCAGCCCATAGGGTTGCATAGAGTCGGACATGACTGAAGCGATTTAGCAGCAGCAGTATTATATCCTGCAGAGCCTGGTGAGGTTTTTCCTTTTCAAGATCATCATCTAGTATAATGCTTTGGATTATTTGTTGAATGCTTTTCTTGCCCACTAAACTGCAAGGTTTATGTGAATAAGAACCATATTTTTCTCCATGTCTATATTCTAATGCCCAGCAATTTGCCTGAAATGGAGTGGCCACTCCATAAACACTTGCTGAAAAAATAAAACTTGTGTACAAAGTAAATAATCTGCAGAAACAGTAAGAAGTAAGAAGTGAAATAAGAGCACAAAGCCAGTATAATTGCAGAACTTTTGAGTTCATTTCACACAATCTTTTTATTTTCTTAAAAAGGAAACTAAAGTCCACACACATAAAGGTCACACAGCCAGTGTGACAAAACAAAGACTATAACCTGCGTTTTTGGACCATGTTTTTTTCACTTACATATCCAAAGCTTGTAAAAATCTTTTTATCAAAATTATGGGGAAATAATCTTTTTATTTTTATGGCTGCATTTACAGTTTTTATATATTAAATTTGGGATGAAATTTTGTTTTTTAGTCTTGCACTGCACATAGTATGAATGAGAATTCATAGGTTCTGACTTGAAGAAGTCATATCAAGAGAATTGAATTTTAGAGAGAATTACAGACTTGAGTACAAGTTTGGAAGAAACCACTTGATTTTGGACTCATGAAATCTAAAACTGTTGTTTTTCAGTCACTCAGTTGTGTCCAACTCTTTGTGACGCCATGGACTGCAGCATGCCAGGCTTCCCTGTCCTTCACCATCTCCCAGAGTTTGCTCAAACTCTTGTCTATTGAGTTGGTGATGTAATCCAACCATCTCATCCTTTGTCATCCCCTTCTCCTCCTGCCTCTATCTTTACCAGAATCAGGGTCTTTTCTAATAAGTTGGCTCTTCACATCAGGTGGCCAAAGTGGAGCTTCAGCTTCAGCACCAGTTCTTCCAAAGAATATTCAGGACTGATCTCCTTTAGGATGGACTGGTTTGATCTCCTTGCCATCCAAGGGACTCTCAAGAGTCTTCTCCAACATCACAGTTAAAAAGCATCAGTTCTTTGGTGCTCAGCCTTCTTTATGGTCCAACTCTCACATTTGTACAAGCCTACTGGAAAAACCATAGCTTTGACTAGATGGACCTTTGTTGGCAAAGTAATGTCTCTGCTTTTTAATATGCTGTCTAGGTATGTCATAGCTTTTCTTCCAAGGATGAATGTTCTAAAACTGTAGCACTGTGGTTTTCTGTGTTTTGTTCAAATGTGGTACAATTATGTTTGAAAGTAGTAATTTTCGTTCTGAAAATAAATGTCTCTAACCATAACTAATTATTCACCTGCAGCATCTTGATGTTGACTCAAAGACGATTTAAAAAAATTTTCTATATAGCATTAAAGTATGGGAGGAATATTTCCTAATCAACAGCAGGACTTGGAGCACTGTCTTGGCACCCGGCCTCCCAGAGCAGTCTTAGAAGGAACAGGTTGCTTGGCTGGCAGGGCAGGAGAAGCCGCAGGTGGGGCAGCACCTTCTAGAAGTGGTCAAGGTGAAGTTGGCAGATGTGATAAATCCTGACCCAGCAGGGCACGGCCCCCCAAGACATGAGGACCTGCATTGTCACTGGTGTCAACCAGGAGAGAGTCTGTAATGGCTGAAGGGAAATAAAACCACAGACAGAAGGACAGACTGCAAACTGAGCAGAAATGCTCTTGAGCATTTACAACTTGGTGTTGAAGATGCCCATAATATGGGGTGGAGGGAGGTTTGGTCCTCACAGCAATCACATCTTGAATTTATAGGTTAGGGAAAAGGAAAACAGAAACTCTTTGGTGTTTGTCTTTACTTGTTACCTTCATCCTGTGTTAGTCGACTTCATCCCTCCATCCTCATATTCATCATCCTCTGATATGTGATCAAATGGTCTTGTGAGTCCTTGCTCAATTTCATTTTAACAAGAAGTCTTTTCTTTTGTCGCTTGACAGAGTTAAATGTCTTACTTTCTGTTTATTTGATGAAGGAATATTTTAGGGTCTTTTTTGCTTCAGGTTTTACCGCGAAACCTTTTCTTCCTTAACCCTCAAACAGCTTTGAGACTGGGATTTTCATTATTCTTAGTTTGAGTCCAAGACCAGTTATGTAACTATTAATAGCTTAGGTTTATACATTTATAAAGTGCTGAGGCCAGAGTCAAATTCAGGCAATATATTATAGTTACAGAGCCCATAGATTTCTCTGTTTGTGGTAATTGAATTTAAGCTCAGCCAGTGTTTGCCAGATTAAGAGCACATACCCT